GGAGCTCTGAGCAGCGGGGGCCGCCGTGAGACTCAGCACGGACCTCGCCCAGTGCGCTGCTCTACCGGCTGAGTACGTGATCCATGTTGGGCAAGCTTTAAAGAAGTCTAAGCGGGTAAACTCAAATAAAAATGTTCCCTTCTAAATGTGAGTGTTCTCCAACAGAATAGCGTGGAGAGCTTCTCTGCGGCTCGCCTTCCTCTCGCTCGCTGTGCTTGCCCAGCACCATCTCGGCCGAGCCCCTGGCCTGCAGCTGGTGCTGATTAAGGGTGTTGACAGCGTGGTTTTCTCTTCCTACTAACCAGGGGTTGGAAGGGAACGTCTGCTGAGTTTCTGCTGGGCGACACGCTCCTGCTAGGTACTCCACCTACGTGGTTCCCCCAAGTCCTCCTCGCAGTCTTTCACGACACCATGAAACACGTTCTCATCTGCCATCGCACATACGGGAAAGCTGGGGGCCACAGGGGGTAAGTCATTTGCCCATGTTGACAAAGCTGGTAAGGACCGAGTTTGGACTAGAATGAGGAGCTATTTGACTCAAAAACCCAGGCCGTGTCTACCGCTTCAGCCTCTCGCTGAGCGCTGTCCAATAGAAACAGAAGGCGAGCCATGAACAGGAGCCAAATATGTAATTTTGTATTTTCTCGGAGCCACATTAAAAAAGGGAAAACCAGGTGACATTTCATTTCAGTAATAATGTGTTATTTAACTCAATGGATCCAAAATATTAGTTTTTCAACATGTAATCAATATAAAAATGACTAATTCTATAATTTTTTTGTAAGTCTGTGAGTGTCGTTGAGTAATTTAAATTTAGAGCACATCTTGGGCTGGGCCAGCCCACCGCCATTTTGCTTTTTCTCCTAGATAGTCTTCAAAGAGAACTTTTTTCTAAGTGTTTTTCAGTACACGTGACCACCATAAGAAATAGTCAGTGGACCCTGGTAAGTGCGAATAACTGAAATAGATTTTACCTGAATTAGTTTGCTCAGGCAACATGACGAAATGCCATAGATGGGTGGTGGGACGGCGACATCTTGTTTTCCCACAGTTCTGGAGACAGGGAGTCCGAGCCCCAGCTGCCAGCATGGTCAGGCTCTGGACAGGACCTGGCCCCTGGCGTCTAGCATGGCCTCGCTCTGAGGATAGATCTCTGCAAGGGCTCGGGCTCATCAGGAGGGCTTCACTGTTAGACCTCGTGACTTCCCAAAGCCCCACCCCGAAGACCATCCTGGGGCTCAGAGTTTCAGTACGAGGATCGGGGAGGACGCAACGTCATCGACCATGGCGTAAGAGAAGCATGTTCCTCGCAGTGCTGAGTGTCCTGGAGGCTGCCTTTGAGGACAACTTGGGAACGTCGTCGGCGTGCCTCGTGAGGCCGGCGTGTTACTGAAATGCCCCATCCAGGGTTCAAAGTCTCTTCTCACGGCCGTTTTCTTCTCAATCCTTATAGCAAGGGCAGGTATCTTCAATCTAGAGTTTTTAAGATTTGACATGGGTGCTCTGAGCGCTAGTGATGGAAGAGGAGCCAGGGCTTACCTCGGAGGGCTTCTGAGGCCGGGCTGTCTCCCACGGCCACGGCTTTCTGCAGCTTACGGGCCCGTGACTGTAGCATGCTGCTGTCTCCCAGTGCAAGCGAGGCCAGCAGGGCCTGTCCTGTGCTCGTCTTCACGTCCGTCCCTGGGCGGAGAAGGGCTTTCGCTGGTTGTGTTCTTCATCTAGCCCAAGGGCTTGGTGGCTTGGCCAGGGCCTCCATGACAGTGCCCAGAGGGACAAGAGCACTTGCAGTGACCTGGGAGTCAACTACCCCTGGGGAGGGGGAGTCAGGCACTCAAATAGGTTTCACTTTCACTGTGATTCTGTTTTTATCTCTTTCTAATTGGGTCTGGAGGACTTTCTCTTAAAAGGGATTTTGGGGAAAGGACAGCAGGGGAGACAGGAGGTTTAACCCGGACAAGCTGGAGACGCGATTAGTTGAGGTGAGGTTATCAGGTGGGCCACAGCCAAGAGAACCACTGTCCAGGACAGTCCTGAGCGGGGGTGTCCGGTCCGGGGGCAGTGTCAGGTGCCAGGCAATGAGCCCGTGAAACCACAGTGCATGAAGCAGAGTTAATGTGTAACTCACAGCCCTGGGGAGGTTGGGGAGCTGATGGAGGCTGGCTGGAAAGTCAGGAGGTGGCAGGAAGCTCAGGGGTGGGTGGCCGGGTGAGCGAAGGGATGTGGGGGACTATGCTTTTACTCAGGCGGTTCCCTTAGGAGGTCCTTCAGGTCGTGGACCGGCTGGTTGAAGGAAGACGCATGAGCAGGGGAACGTCCTTACACCGACCTCTGGAGCTCGTCCTTGGTGGTCTCCCCACTGCCCCTTCCCCGCCTGGAGCTCCCCACTGCCTTTTCCCCCAATTCCTCGCTAACATCCTACCCCCAGCAGCTTGTCATGCGGCCTGCCTTGGAAATAGGGTC